TGCCATTGAGAAGTAAAACCTATATAATGTGCGTAATCTATAAGGGGGGTAATCGGCGGGGTCACTAGCGCATAGAACTTATGACCTTATGATTAATTTAGGACTTCTTAGTCCAAGGTCACGCTGATGCGCCGTCATCGTCTTCCTTCGTCTCCAAGTAATAGTGTTTGATCTATAGGATAACATAGGCCATTAGCGTGTTTCAACTTGAAGTTGCTCAATTAAACAGTTTGCACATTTCATGATATTCAATAGACATGCTTTTGTAGCGTTATTTAACGTAACACATTTCTGGATCTTTCCATAATATTAAGGACTTCATGTTTTAAAGTAGCAGAGGACGAAAACAATTTTAGTGGCTTTCTTGATTACAATAGGAATTTAGTACGAGTTTACAAACGCCAAAACGAAGGATCGTCAGTGTTACTGAGTATAGAAACAAGCTCGTTTATGTTTAAAGACGAAGTTTACCAAGCTTCCCTTGGGGAAAAAATTCTGAATTCTGAAATTCATTGAACTCATGTTTCCTGAAAGCATTTTTATCGAGCCGCCCATCTGTTCTGTATTCGATAGCTGCACAAGTCATCTGGCACTGAGCCTGAACTATTCTTCGTTATTACTCCTACCTAAAGGGCTGCATTAAGTCGGCAGGCCTCTTGCCTGCTTGTGCGCCAAATAACTTCTGTCCCTGAGGTCATTTCTGATGCTCATCAGGTCCCATGCCGCACCCGCATACCAACTAAATCCGTTCTTAGCTTCAATTTGTTTTACTTTTCAGATCGAGGTGGCACTAATTCAAGATTATTTTTTTAATAATATCTATTTAAAACGTATTTTTTTAGTATGCACGTGTTCGTCGTTTGGATTTTTAAATTTATTTCGAGCGAGGCTGATAGCCTCGGGCGAACGCTCACTTAAAGACGAAGCTCTGAAACGTCATGACCTTAAACACGTCGCTGAGTCACATCGGCCTTCAGATGCTTGACCTTTCTCCTATTTTCAGAATCTTATTGATTACCTATGCTGAAAAAATAGTACAAGCGATCCTTGTTGACTGCACCCATATCACTGTGAAAGTATTTCGAAATTCCATTGTTAATCGTCTCCTAGCGTATCTCTAGTTTTAGTTACTTTCTAGTTGAGTCAAGTTTAGATGCGCTTTGTTTGCCAAATAACAATGTTTGTTTGTTTCACCATTAACGTTTATATTTTCTTGAAATATATTGTTTTCTGGATTTCTTCGTTACAGTGAAAATGCTCGGCTTTTCCATTCTCTATAATCTCTTCCGACTGTTTGATATGCTTCTTGTGTATGTATTTCTACATCGAACGTTTTTTGCATCAAAAACTCAATTGTATTTGAAAGTCTCAATTTTTTCGCAGTAGTTTATTCCCGCGCATTATTATTATAATTAGTGATTAATTAGCCGGTTCATATTCTACTTTAATTAAGGAAAATTTCCTGAAAACTTTCCGATCCGTGACAAAGATGACTAGTTTTGTCTAACGATGTATTCGTTGCTTTTCATCGTCGCTCAGGCTGAAGCATCTCAAGATCAATTATACATACTGAGTCAATTTACATAGTTCTTTATTGCCCGAACATCTTTTGCATCATCAACTGCAGCAAGAGAGGCTTCATCGTTCCATCCACTTACTCAAGATTGAATTCGCTACTTCTCGCTTAAGTTTTCAATTATGAAGCAATTTTTTTAGATCTGTTGTCTTCTGAATGCCAGTGCCAAGTTTATGTGCATTACAGAAATTACACGTTGAAAAAATATATTTTGCGCGGAGGAATAGCATCATTATTGATGTTGATGCCCGAGCAGGATATTTTTCGCGGATGTGGAGACGATTAATCCCGTAATTTTTGTCGATCATAAGTTTTTAATTAGTTATTACCTTGCATTACATTACACTTGTCAAGATTGTACGAAAATTTTGGCATTGAATTAGAATCAAATCGAAATCACACGGAGTAGTAAGCTTTTTTGTTCAAAGCTCACAATTTTTCATGTTCTTGGCTCAATAATAATTACAAGCTTCTTTGTGTTTTGAAACATAGCTTGCAGCTAGATCCTAAATACATACATTTGCTTAGTTATTTACGATTCGTATATAGAAACCTTTTGTTAAGAAGTCATCGATCCTCATTTTTTTTATGATAAAAGGATCAACCGTGTAGTGTTTCAAAAAGAATGGGAAATAAGTGCACGAGGTGAAATTCGTTTTTAATGTGAGCAGAAATAATCCACACGGGCAATTGGCATGGTTCCGCGCACTGTTCAGCCGTAGTTATACAGTGAGTCTTCATCGCGCAAACCTTGCGCGGTTTTTGTAGCTGTAATTTTAAGCATATTAATAATTTATTATTACGAGTATTTCGTTCATCGTTCGCTTTGAGATAATTGTGTGTGATTTTATTTGCCAGTGTTTAAAATTGAATTTAAAATGAACTTTGATGGACCAAAGCCAGCGTATTATTATTATTATTAACCAATCCTTGAATAGGATCGTCTGGAATTCAGGAACCATCGACCCTCCCCAATTCTTTGTCTTCCTTGTTATTCAAATCGCGTGCAGCTCATCACCATACCTGCAAGCCAGAGGCGGGAGGTGCGAATACCAATTGCGTCGAAAATTGAAGCTTTGATTAGAATTGCAACTGCATCTTGGCTGGAAATCTGAGGGCTCGTATTCGACGTCTTGAGAGTCGATAACTTCTGTATTTCAAATGTAGTCTTCCCTTGTTTACTGAACGTTTTTAGCGTATGAAATTTTATTGGTAAATGGACTAGTCAAATCTGATATATCAGTGAGATTGAGTTTGACTTGAATGCCGTCGGCATGTGCAAAGGCTGATACTGTGAGTTAAATTTTGATTCAATTAGGTTCACTTTGATTTTATTTGGTTACTAGGCTGTATTCCATATTACTTATAGTTCTGTATTTCCGCCTTTTCGACTTAATTGAAGACTGCAGTTGTTTTTTCTATTTTTTTTTCGTTAGCCATCATTTGATCTAAGTAAAATACCTACTGAGCTTATATTTCTCATCTCTATCGACTCATCTCATACTGGCCCTGCCAGTATGAGATACTGGCAAGGCCCACCACGGCCATACTGGCCCTGCCACCACGAGACACTCGTACCTGATGCCAAGCGTTTCTTCGTGTGTAGATGAATACTTTGGCAGCGAGCTTTTATGAATCTCTGCGACATGTTTCAAATTTCCAACCCGGGTAAAAATTCTCATCTCATATACTGGCCCTGCGACTTCTGTCACCTACCATCCGTGTGTCCATTCACAATCTTCATCCAGTGTTCGCATCCATACAACCGCGCGTGTCCATAATCTGCCTTACTAGTGTTTTCATCCACATACACGCCTTACGATTGTTTTCATACACACATATCCTTGCGTCTATATAGTCTAGCTACACCCTTGTCATCTACCATCCGTCCATCTATGGTCTACTCTACACTCTTAGGTGCACATCAACTGTCATCAACCTATATCCTGAGATGAGAGGGCAATTTACCAGGTTTTGTGGGGTCGGATCGCTCCTTACATAGGCCTGGGATGCCGCGTCTCCATAAAAGAGTTATCGGCGAACGACATTGACTTGAAATGATATCGTGAGGCATGGTCCGAAAAGGAGCAGAAAACGTCGTGTAGGAATATCGACACTGATCTCGCTCTGGCACGTTTGAACGCATGTATTATCAACGCATTCAAGTTGCTGGAATGCATGCGTGGAGTATTGTCTTGAATGTATAAATTGCTTGATGGAAGGTTGAAATTGTTGAGTTATTTCACGCAAGCTTTTTCTAAAAATTTGAGTTTCAGCGGGGATCTTTTATTCAAAATTTTCTGAGCACACGAGTGAAGACGAAGAGTGTTAAACTACCTTATGCATATCGTTATTGTTGTTGATGTTTTGGCTTGAGCTCAAGAGTGAGCGGTGCATATCAAAATACCTCGACCTCACTGCATGCCCTGCTCTCTGCTCGGCCATCTTTAGAAATTGTACTTTTGATGCACGCATTCCTGTTGCATCTACCGTCATGCATGGCATAACTGTCACAGTTAATGTTCTATTCAACTGTAAAGAACATCATCCTGAACACCACGAGACACTCGTACCTGATGCCAAGCGTTTCTTCGTGTGTAGATGAATACTTTGGCAGCGAGCTTTTATGAATCTCTGCAACATGTTTCAAATATCCAACCCGGGCAAAAATTCGCATAAGTATAAACAGCTTAAGGTCTCGTTGGATTTCCTATCGGTGAAGTAGCTAGTATCGGATTGCTCATCTGCAACACTGTAACAGCTCGCTGAAATTTCCGACGTGCTGTTCTCAAGCTGATATTAAGGCCCTTTTTACGCCGGCCAACCGTTGTTTTTCATTAAGCCGCCTGTAAACCGAAAATAATTTTCAACAGAGTAGCATAACGTTGCTGCGGTTTTCGGAATTTCCATTATTTTTGCTGAATTTGGTTCGACGGTTGCTGTTAATAGGGGTCAGCTCAGAACCTGATCGATTACCAGCGGATTGGCTGGCAATGTCGCCATTAGCCAAAGTTCTTGGTGCCGCAAGTTGCGCGCGTTATCTTGCTGATGGGCTTATAACGTCATCACAAGGTTTATTCGGTATAACCAGAAAAAATATAACTCAGTACTCACTGCAGTGAGTGACAGAGAGCGCATTTTCTCGTCGACGAAAACTTGAGGTCACGGACGGACGGACAGATGGACGGACAGACAGACAGACAGACAGACAGACAGACGGACATGACGAGCACAATAGTGCATTTTTTCCATGAATGAGAAAATGCGCTAAAAATGATTGAATTGACTGCTATAAGTTCACTATTTGGCCGTTTTGTAGGTACTTAATTAATATGTTAATTGTTGTAATTTTTGTCTGTGACATCTTTTTCTATGCTGAACGTGAAGAGAAGCCACTTTACGGTTTTCATGTGTTATCCTGCAGTTGGACTACAGCGAGTGTGGGGACGAACTGCCGTCTTCGTCTCCCCGCTTCAAGGTATTCCGCGAGTCCCCTTCCTCCCCGCCGTCCCCGGACCGACACTTCTGCTCCTCCACCACATCCCTGGCCGGAGACTCCAGCATTAACCAGCCCGAGGTGAGCGAGACTTCCCCCATTTCCTTCTTATTGTCATTGGATATAAATTCCCCAGTATTTAATTTGCGAGAATGACAACTATTTTGGCTATCGTTTTTATTTTTTTTAATAATATTTTTATTGAATCTGTCTGATCTCTAATCGCACAATATTGTCTCAGCTTCGTGAAATCCTTAATATATCTCGTTCATGTTTTCGCGGAGAGGTGCGGTAAGTTTGGGTACCTCGGTAATACTACAAATAGCTTTTTTTACAATGACTATTTATACTTCATTGTGCCTTGTGACCTCCGTTGGCAAACTATGGAGTCTTCATGTTGGGCATCTTGTCTCTAAATGCTGAAGAATTTGTGCTGCTGTGATGGCATACATTAATCAAGTATCTTACATACCACACTGTCATACACGCGACATTGGAGACTTTGTAAGTGTGCTTCCCTGCTAAAAATATGAAGTTAACTGCAATCGCTGGCATAACATGGCTCGGCTTCACTGAGGTTGCCAGCTAAGTCGAGTACTGGCTCTAATGCTTCTTCTTTTCTGCTGATACGTTTTCCTTTACAAATATATGTTTCGTTAATTGTTATTTCATCTGCATTTCCATTTAGACGCCTTTTTTTGCTGGTACTTCTTCTTAATTGTTTTTCGTAAGACGATTGCCTCAAAAAATGATCAGTACCGGTAGTGACGACATAATTTTTTTTCATAAATTTAACTAAACCTTCCTTTTATATTTACCTAGGTCTCAATCATAACCATAACTCAAATGCTATTTTTGTTACTATAAAGAATTTGCAACCACATGTTTTGGCTGTTTCATGTATTTTCAATTAAACCCGTGTAATGTTAATGTAAGAGAACAAAGCCCGATTAAATGATGTATGGTACATTTTCTCGAATATTTGCGTATGTAACTTGATTCTATTATTTCAAGCCGCGGTATTCAGGTATTTCAGTTAGTGCTAGAGTCACATGCATAGTTCCGTCTTGCTTATGGAATGCAGGCTCGGAGTTACATCGTCCCGCGGTTTCGGGTACGTGACACGCTATTGAGTTCTCAGTCTCTGCCAGACAGTTCCATGTGTACGTGGTTTCCGAAAAATTGTGTAGCATTAATGTTTGTAATGATGAACTGCTTTAATTTGTCAGGCTCTGCTACAACCTTAATATTATTGGTATAAAGTGTGTTATTCGCGTCTTTTATTATTAGTTCATTTTTTAACATATTACTCAAAACTCAGTTCTCAATTTAAAGTTAATTTGGGCTTTTTCCAAACCTAGGAGTAATATTTTTTCTTGATTTTAAGAATGGAAATTGTATATCAAATGAAGAAAAGTAGTTCAGGCCTAGAATGGTAATTTTGCTCTAAAGACGATGAGTAGTGAGTACCTAGCATTTTGATCTCGTGCCTTTCTCATTATTCCTTCTTCAGTGAAAGTCATATTTCCGATAGTTTCTCGTACCTTAATTAAAGTCTGCGATGTTGATACACGAGTGTGATCTGCTGCATTTATCAGATACTTTTGAAGGTGTCCAAGAAAGATATCTCATTGATTTTGTCCTCGTTTGCTGTCTTTATTCTAGGACGTTTAATTTCTCATTAATTGTCCTTATTTTTTATATATATTGCTCATGCGGTTTAAGCACACATTCTCCTGCTTTGATGAAATAACTAACGAATATCGGAAATGCTTATAATCTCTAGGTTGATTCTTCATATTTCTCGTAGCTCATGTCTTCACATGAGAAAAACATTTTCGCAGATAAATGAATGAGTTATTATTATTTGTCTTCTCACTCAATTAAAACTTTCCTAAAATAATACAACAAAAATTATGTTTTGTTTCACTCGCGCCTGTGGTGGATACTTCTGCTTTGGCATTGCACCTGCTAGTTGCTTTTTTTTGCGTGGGTGGGCAACGCGTTTTAGACGAGCGAGTTCAGCTCCGACTTGGTCTTTTCTGTTCATTAAGTTAAGAATTTGTTATCTGTTAGTTCCTCATTATTTATTACCAGAATATTACTCTATACGAGGCGCTGGTAAAAAGTGAGCACATCCACAGCACGTGTTCTGTCACTCAGAAGGCGTGTGCCGTGGTCACGAGTGTTGATCAGTGCCAAAGTATGTATCCGCAGGGAAGTACTTTTATCCAAGCCTTCTTTGCATATAGGAACCTAGACTCGTGTGAATAAAATCATCCTCATCATATTGCTCCTACAAAGTAATTGAATGCGATTGTAATAGATTATTGTTATAGCTTTTAAGGCAGTCTACGGACCCAAATGGTTCGTGTGGTCATAGCATGTATTTAGAACGCACTAAACGCAAATTATAATTATGAGTAGTAATTTAGTAATTATATATATATGGGTCACTTGTTGGCTTTCAGGTTCCTATAATGTAAAGCTTAGATTGATAGCATTCTTTTCTTTTTAAGTACTTAATACATAACTCTCGTACAACTTAGACGATTGATCATACAGTGGAAATGCAATTAAGTCAGGGTTATGAAAATTCCTTTTTCCTCTATGTAAATCTTAGATCATCATTGAGTAATACGTTTCTATTCTTCGAGATGGCATTAGTCATTTTCTTTTCCTTCATTCGAGTAAGGACCTTTCAGTACACGGATTTTAGATATTCAAGCCTGCATTGTTTGTTCCTTCCATGCGATTTGTATTCATGTGTCGTAGGTTCAAAACGAATGAATAAGATCCCCCGAAGTGCTAAGGCCGGAGCCTCTAAATTCTCTAGTAATTCGCCCCCTTCATGGAATTCGCGATTTCATATCAACTAGAGGCAAGTTGAAACTGAATTATGCCCCTCTAAGTACTCATTAATTTATTAACGTTCACTATCCGTTTTTTGTGTATCTGTCGACCACTTAGGTCTTAGGCGGTCTTTGCTTATTTTGTACATTCATGTCATGTGCCGTTTAACCTCATGGTCTCGAGCTACAATATTTTGCTCTACTGATATGATGACTGTAATAATTTTTAGCCAATGCACAAGTATTTATAATTTGCAACTACAAATGAAAATGCTGAAATACGGAAAAAATAAGAATTTTTTAGAAACTGGAGGACAATTCTAAATTACCAATCATGGTTGATTTTGTTTACGCAGTTTAAGCCAGAAAGTGATTGATAGTTTTGAGTGGGTTGAATGCTAGTTGCCTTTTTCAGTCATCTTGTGAGGTACAATGACTGTCTAAGACTGCCGTAACATATTTGTCCGTGACACATATGGCGTGTGTGCATCTGGCTCATACTAGGCTTTTTCTTTTTTACATAGACCATTAATCTACTTGCTGTAGCCGTTGGTATTTAGTTAATCTCTCCAGATGATGTGAGCCCCAGGAACCTTTTTGTTTTTGGCCATAATTTATTGATTAAGTTCGTTAATACCATACTAATAATTTGTTCATAAATTTCCATCCTATAATTCAAATTTTTAAAGCATTTCAAATTTTGTATTTTTTTTTTTTGCAAACTGTTTTACTCTTTGACTGAGTTTTCATTCGTTCTCATGTGTCTCAGGAAATAATTTCTTGCCTCTACACGTTGAGCCATAATCAAGAGCTCTGCAATTTCATACTTATCAGCATATTTCAAGTGAACATTAATTGAAGATTTAATGAGTGCTTACATGTAATTCGAAGTAGATTTTTTCCTTCGTTGTTGCAACCTATGCCAGTGAGCACGTGCATCTATATCGGTCTATCGAACACCACATGCTGTGTCACTTGACTGCCGAAATGACATTGAAATGAAGGAAAAAAGAATCGTCTGATTTGGCACGTGAGCAGACGCATCATCTTGCTGTGCCTGCTAACTTGCCAGAACCGAGATCGTTTTTTGCCTCACGTGCTTGACAGAGGCATCCTAAAATCGTTGAATCATCTGTCGCAGGACAAATTACCTCTTGCGCCTTTGTTGTGCGGCCGACAGAAAATGAATAGATGTTTACTTTTGGTCCAAGTCTTCTTGAAATATTGTACGTTTCTCTTTAGTTAATATCTTAAAACTCGTTCAATCTTAATAAGTATCGAAATATGATTTACCGCAACGCGATCGAGTGCTGACAGCGACACAGCGATGTGTTTGAGTTCAAGCAGGTCGTCCTGTTTCTGGTACGAAATTATTCCGGGTTTGCCAGCATACAATCTCTTGATTTTCTCCATTCATTTTAGTTGTCCATTGACGTCCTTGAAATTTTGATATTTTATAATTTATTTCACTAGTCGTCTGGTAAAGTCTCATTATCATCTTGAATTTATGCTCTAAATGGAAAGTTTACTTTTAAAAACTCATAAGTTGAATGTGTTATATATGTATAACATTTTGTCTTTAATTTTTTTAGTTTTAATTAACGTAAAATTCCTGCCTGTCTAAATATTACGCATTCATTTATTCAAAATGATGTTTTCAAATTATGAGGCGACTTTATTCTCTACAGATTTTCCTCGTCACGTAGCCTCAACAAGACAAATAAATTATTATGCGTGCAATCTCATGTTTATTTTATTCTGAGGCATTAAATATACTTATTTTTTTTAGGGATAAATCTTGAGGGAAGACAGCTGCTGCCACGCGCTTGCTGCTATGCTGGCTGTGGGCCAGTGTCTGTTGTCCTTGTGATGCGGTCTGCTGTTCTTCTTATCGTCTAAATTCATTGCCGTCAGGGCGCTGCTATCCCTATCCTATAAACCACCTGTTTGCTCGCCTGCTAAGATAAATGACTGGGCGGATACAGCTCGATTCGCATAACGAGCCACATTTTGCCTCCTTCTGTGTCTCGGGGGCAAAGGGATTTCATTGGTCTTATGGATGTCGTTTTTCCAGCAGGTCGCGACGTTGATCGCCATAATCGTTGGGCTTTGCTAGGTTATGATTGCTCAGCATATTATTACATTTTTCGGTAACAAGGTAGTTCGTTACAAACTTTTAACCATGTCTATTCTCTTCGATCCTTTTCTTATTCGAGTTTATTTGAATGTTTTCGCTATTCTTGGTTTGATTCATCAACGTAACACCTATAGCTTGTTCAAAGATTTAAATCCTTTAACAATAGCTTCTTGACAAATTTTCCTAAGAATGTAAAAGCAAAGATAACGCCAAGTAAATTCACCTTATCTTGGCGTTTTCTATGTTTTTTTACTAGCTTTTTTTCTACTTGGCGTTCTCTTTGCTTTTACATTCTTGTTGACCTCTCTATTTAAGGTAACTAATAATAATAGTACTGATATATGATGTGCAAACTATTCTTCCAGGAGGAGGACGCCCCCCGGAGAATGTGTCTCGTGTGCGGAGACGTGGCGTCAGGTTTCCACTACGGCGTAGCTTCCTGCGAGGCCTGCAAGGCATTCTTCAAGAGGACCATCCAGGTAAGGTTGCTGAGAGCTCTTTATTCCTTGTCATTTCTCTGAAGCAATGTACAATTTTTCATCTCTGAAGTGTACTCTATTATTTAGATGACTAATACGGAGTTGAAAATTAATTTACACAGCGGCGTTATGATACATTTGCATAGGAGATGCGTTCAGCTAATTTATCATTCATCGTTCAAACATCCTGATTATCGCGTTACCCTAGTAGAGAGCTTTACTTTATAACTCCATATTTATTGTCACTGCATCGTAAATATCGTGCTAACCTGCTAGGAGAGACCTTAACTTTACGACTCGATATTCATTGTCACAACATCGTAAGTATCGTGCTAACCTGCTCGGAGAGACCTTACCTTTACGACATTCTCACAACATCGTAAGTATCGTTTTAACCTGCTAGGAGAGACATTAACTTTACGACTCTATTCATTGTCACAACATCGTACGTATCGTTTTAACCTGCTAGGAGAGGCCTTAACTTAAAAACTCCATATTCATTGTCATACCATCCTTATAAAATATCGTGCTAACCTGCCTGTCGAAATCTTAACTCGACGACGCCAAATCTTGCGGGATTATGGACGTGCCTCTAGGCGACGCTTTATGCCGCTCACTTTGAGCTTATTTTTTATTATTATACTCGCTTTTGAGTCATCAGTCCTTCTCGCCGTTCGTATCCGAGTGCTGCTTTTGGCTGCACTCCAAGCCCCGCAATATATTCGATGGCATTTACGTGACACCCGCGCCCGCCGTCTTCTTGTTTCTAGATCTTGTGATTCCCGAGGATATTTGAAGCCTCTCATAGAGCCAACAATCTGCTCTAATATTGAACCCGTAGAATTTTGTGTGAGTTTAAACCGCGCTCAGTAAGTTAAATATTCGTATCGAAATGCGTAGACTAACTAACGAAAGCAGAGTTTTCCAAATTCTAGGAGTAAGATAAAAAAGTGATAGGAGATGCATATACGCCTAGTTTCTAAAAATTGGAATGTAATACGAGATTATTTATTTTCACTTATAATATGGTCGATCTTGAATGCGAAGACATGAATATTATGAAGCCACTGTAGGGGACCTCGCGGCTATGAGCGCCAATGTTATGAAGTTCAGGCACAGAGTTTGACGTTCCAAATCACCGCTCAATTGAGTCTTATTTGAATCAACGACACTTGTCACTTCAGGGACTACCCTTGAAGGCCCCTTTAGCCACCACATGCCATCCCCCAACGGACGACTCTCGGCCGGCAATTCGATGTCAATTCTCACTTGCAGTCAGCAGCTCTGAATTCGGTGATGGCAGCTGTCGGCTACATGACAGGTTGTCATCGTAAATTTGTCGGTTTTTATGTTTCTATTTCACAGTCAATTTCAGAGTTTATAACCAACTCGTCTCAAAATGCCAGGTACCGACAGCTACAAATTTTAATACACGCACCTGCATGCGAAATAAAAATGTACTAATGCCTCAAGATTTACTATTTTCATCACAGTTTTCATTATTGTGAGCGATACCTCTATAATTTGATATGTTCACGAGCTGGTCAGTCTGGCGCTGCCCGGGCTCGTTAATCAATCCCTGTAATTTTAGAATCTCGTTATTCTGAATCCCGTAACTAATACTGAAGATGAAGTATGCTAATTAGAGAAAGAACCGTCCGTCCTACACCCACATTTTTGACTCTCGCTTCAAAGTAGGAAAATTTTCTCTCTTTTCAGTGCACATTTTAACATATCAATTATAACTCCTTTAAATAACAGCAATTTCTATACTATCCCTTATTCTCAGTTTTACAATGCTTTGCTATTCTCTCCATAAGAATTGAATTTCAAGTCCAGGTAATATCCGAACGTTCTGTATAATTAATTTTGAAAAGTAAAATGATTCTGCTATTGTATTAAATTTTCTGAACATCTTGAATAAATTTCTTAGTGCTTTTTCATTGAAATAGAATATGCGAGAAAGGAATTGTGAATCTCTCAGGAGATTACTCGCCGTTGAGCTCGGTTTATGCGGCTTAAAAGCACATGATTAGCTGCGGGCTGACAGGGGAGCTCGTAAAGGGAGCTCATGGAGCGACTTATTGCTTTCATTTGTATGACGGCAAACTTGCTAGTCATGCGCTCCTACAAAAAATGTGATGGAAACGCATTGCATTTGTTAAGCATTAGATCCGCGTGAGAATGCAACACACGTACTGAATTCTGTGTTATACGTTGAGAAATACTGCAACTGATCGTACGTTATGTCACGAGCCTCTGAACAGCAGCCATGTGTACTATTCTATACAAACATTGCAACACGAACTTGCTGGCCGCTGGCCAGTGATAAATACCTGCTCCGAATCTGGTAGCCAAATGCAACATAAATTTATGGTTAGCAGCAAAAACTCTTGTATTATATTTTATATTTCTAACGTAACTGCTATACCTGCATTATGATTGTTCTTGACATGTTGTTTACCATTATTTGGTATGTGCCGCGGCCACATTTCAATGGATCGGATCAAATATATGCTCATCAAGTCTCATATCTGATGGGCCTTTCCGACGTTAACTGCTTTTTTTTTCATTTAAAATTAATCCCAGTTTTAGTATAATTAACGTGGCCATCGAGAGTAGGTGTTGTTGTGTTTAAACTTTTGCTCGAATATTACACCTGTCTTTGTAAACTAAGACGAGATTCTCATCCTCATGTGCTTCGCTTCTCAAGCTATTCTCTGAGACCGCAAGGCAAGTCCTTTAAATTCTCGTAAGATTTACTCATAATTGGGCAGTAAACTTCGTGTCGCTGTCGTCTCGGGTTGTGAGAACATTTAAGCAGTTACATTAAGTACCTCAAATTACTATCGGACTTTTCTCAGGGGAACATCGAGTACACTTGCCCGGCGAACAAGGATTGTGAAATCAACAAAAAGAGACGCAAAGCGTGCCAGGCGTGTCGCTTCACAAAGTGCTTGTCCGTGGGCATGCTCAAGGAAGGCGTCAGGTGCGTCTTCTTATTCATATTCAACCTTCTTCTTTCTTATAATTTACATTACCGGTATCTATTTTATTTTCCTAATAATTTATAAACTTAAGAAAATTATTTCATTGCGATATCCATGAATTTGTTATTTAAGTGTAAATCCCGAATTTGTTGCACTAATTTTATACGTTAGGATGTATATAAAATTATTTTGTAGCATTAATTTTCACAATTTTATTAATAGCGAAAATTTTACAATATTTTTATGCGCACAAATTTGGTATTCCTAAAATTTCGTGATCTATTGTTTAATTCTAAATCGTCTACGCGCATCTAGCTACGCATTATATTGCTCCATCTTTTATACAAAATTATATTTCTTTCATTTTCGACGGAAATTTTTCACTGAAGAAGCTTTTAGAGCAGATCTGTATCTGTAGTTATAATTACTTTTTGCGCTGGCATCTGAAATTTTCACGCCACATTTTCAGAGTTCTGAGAACTACTCACCTCAAGACTGCGATTGGCAGCTTTAGATTCTGATTTTGGAGACTCATTTCTTTTTATCTCAATTTTCTCATCAGGTTTATCGATAAAACTAAGTTGTATTTAGCGAGCTTAGTTCGAAAGATGATTACAATTAACAGTTTTTAAAGTTCATAATTATTATTAGCTGTATTCATTTTAAAAGCTTGGTACGGATTAAATTAAGATATGTCAACTGCGACTTATATGGCAGGCTGGACAGAGTACGCGGCGGACGACAGAAGTACAGACGGACGAGCGAGACTCCCTTCTCGACGCCCACCATGGGGAACCGGCGGTGTCTTGACGGTCAGTTATCTCGATTTTTGTTATTAGCAACCTTGAACTGTTATTTTTTATAGTAACCAATTTTATCTTTACTAATAAGATTAAAGGCTACGAGCAGGTCAAGCTCGACGCTTCTCGTTATAAAAAAGCGTTACCCACTATAGATAGTCAATAAGTATTGAAAATAAGTTCCGTTTATACTGTTGTCCTAAAATTTTATAATCTAAATGAGGAATGGCTCTTTCAAAATCTTCGATTAAATAACCCAATTTAATACTCATTTCGAAATATGAGTATATTAAATTGTTTTCTCGTGAATTCTAAATATGTAGCTATATATTTATATTTGTTTAAAGCAACGCCTATTCGAATTTTGCGATTCTTGTTGAACTCTACATTAATAATAAAATTTAAATCCAGGTAATAACATGACACAATAGTTATAGTCAATACGCCCTTTTTGTGAAGTCAACTTTTTGTACAGTTCCCCACTCGCTTTAAGCAAACGCTCACAATAATAAATGATCCAAAAACTTTTTAACTTTGGCTTGTCAAAATTTATGTGTATGTGTTTGAAGCGTGGACCGGAAATACACAGAGGCTTTTTCGGCGCGTTTTAACGAATTACTTCTCGTGTAGGAATTTAGTATACCTTAACCTGAAAATTTGTTTTTAGTTAGAGAATGGGAATAGATTAAATTTAAAATTTGAATTTGATTATGCAATAGGTAAATATACAGTTATATTGAAAGTTGCAAGATAGTTTTTTTCCAAATTTTGAAACGAAAGTGAAATGAGAGTGCTTGCCACTCAAGCCAAAATTCACTTCCCATTTACACGCACTTCTCTTGACACTCGCATTGCATTTCTCTTTCCGTTCGCACCGCACTTCTCTTTCTCTCGAACCGCACACATCAAACCACTCGAACCGCACTTTTCTTGTCAGTCACGTCGCTCTTCTTTTGCTACTCACGCCGCACTTCACTTGCCACTCGTACCGCGCTCCTTCTCTTGCCACTCACAGCGCAATTTCTGCTGCAGACCTGAAGATTTTGTCTGCTCTGCGCTCCTGCGAGCCGGAATGCATAAACGCGCTGTCTGACCTGCCGGGCGACATGGCCGACCTCTCCTTGGTGGGAACCCTGGCCGACTTCTATGACAGGGAACTCGTCGCCACCATTGGCTGGGCTAAACAGGTTCCTGGTGAGTACTGCCTCAGCTCCATGTTTGCAGCGCCTGGCTTGGGCGCAAGTAGCGTTGAAAGTGTCAAATTTGTTTTCCTAATTCTTGTACACGATTCCGCAAACACATCGTCTTTTGCTCTTTCTCTACAATTTGTTGAACGACAGCAAGAAATTTAGTATGAAATGGTCATACTAACTATGCTACTTTTTATCAAGTTTGTGAACTTTTTGAAATCGGGAAGGTAATAATTCTTCCACGACCGACATCTTAATAGCAAAATAATGTGCATGAATAATTATTTTTCAGTTTTAACATCAGCGTCATTCCTTAATATTAGTCCCTCTGAACAAAGTAACGGTACTGCTGATCAGAGCAGGATATTTATCGCCATTATTCATGTCAGTAACATTTCTCCCTGCAGGCTTCTCGGATATAGTTTTGGACGACCAGATGCGCCTACTACAAAGCACGTGGGGGGAAATCCTGACTCTGGGCTTGGCTTTCCGCTCCATGTCGACGGGTGGCACGAGACTGCACTTCGCTGCCGACCTCACTATTGACGAGAACAGTGCGAGAGAGTGGCAGGCTCTAGAACTCTATAATCAAGTGAGTATGTCAAGCTTATCCTAATATTCACTCACCACGTGAGTGAATATTAATATTCCCCCCCCCCCACGTGAGTGATTTTTTTCAGTCAATTTTGGATCGATTGCTTATGGCATTAACTTTTAATGGTTCTTCTGTAGCCGGTATTGACCTCTCTCGTGTTCGTTGAGAAAAGCTAATACAATAATAGTTTGATAGCTAAACTGTTACTTATCACAACCATAAGCAGTGGATTAAAATGTCGTCAATGCCAAAAGGTATAGCTTTTATTTAATAACCCAGTGTGCGTTTTGGTCATATTTTGTATTGTTACATGACAAAATGTTGAAATACAAGTTTAATAATAGATAACGTTGATAGGTTCTGGCTGTTGTTGAACGCTTCGAGCAAGTGAACCTGCAGCACGACGAATTCCTCGTCCTGAAGGCACTCGTGCTGACGAACTCTGACGTGCGGTTACAGGACACAGTCCCTCTGCAGAATTTGAGAACGCAATTCTTGCAAACTCTTTTGCAAGTCGTCGAGAGTATAAGGTGAGAGACCGTGTACAGTGTGGCTCAAGTCACGCGTGTGGGGTGTGGCTAAAGCAGTGTTTCTTAGAATGTGGCTAAGCAGTGTTTCTTTCGAATGTGGCTGAAGCAGTGTTTCTCCAAATGTGGCTGAAGCAGGGTTTCTTTGAATGTGTCTAAGGCAGTGTTTCTCCAAATGCGTCAAAGGCAGTGTTTTTCTGAATGTGGAATGAGGCAGTGTTCGTTCAAGTGTCGCTATAGCGACTCAATTGTAGGTACGTATGTGACTGAAGCGAAACCGCTTAGACGAAGCACCACGACATCCACTCACTCACCTTCTCAGATTGCCAATATTGGAGTGTTATGCATTTCCATGTTCAATTGTTTATGTTTATTCTTCGGTTCAGAATTGAATTCAATAGCGAAGACAGTTGGATTGATGTATTGACACATGCGTTTGAGCAAAAGATTTGCTTTTTCATCAATATTACAAAGAAAACTGTCTTCACTCATTTTTTCTTATTGAAATTTCCTAGTATCAAATCTGTCATGTTGTGCAGAAACCACGACATCACTCAACACTTCAACTCGCTGCTGCTGTGTCTGCCCGCCCTGCGCTCCGCAGACTTCGCTCTGCGACGCTTCTGGCTCTCCATCAGACATCAAGAAACTGTCCCTATGAACAAACTTTTCTGTGAAATGCTTGAATCACAAATGCGGTGAAAAGCTTTCAATTCCGTCTCTCATACATGTCGCGCATCGCATACATGATGGTTTCTTAAAAATTCATTTGTATTTTACTTATATGATATATATATGTACGTTTTGTTTGCAATGATTCATCAGGAGTTATATTTCTTGTTAATTAATACATTTAAGACAAGCGATGGTGACTCGCTCACCCGCTGGTTGATCTCTTAAATTATTTTCTAATCTATTTCCAAAGTTTCTTCAGTCTTGAGTTATTTTTTCCACAGAATGCTAAGATTTATCAAGTTATTTGATTAAATATTTGATTTATTTATGGAATTGGATATTGTCATTCAACATTAAGAGGTATTAATAATTGAAACTTTCGCAGCGAACTGTGGGAAAGAGGCTTATTTGTATTTTTTATGAACTGGTATATGGGGAGGTGCTAGCTTGTTCGGGACCAATCAGGGTCATCGTATTTTACAAACTTTTATAACTACGTATTTATATTGCGCCCACGGTTAATACTTGTTACTCCTGACAAATTCACAGGTAACAAGTGTCCTGACAAATTCACAAAATTTGTCTATGTCTCTTATAGCTTTTCTTTTATAACGCGCAGGTTCGTCATGAAAAACTCGCTCTGTGATCAAACTTTAATTCTTCTTTCGCACTTTGAGAAAACTAACCAGTAATTTTCTACTAGCTTATAACAATCGAATTCATGTGCTCTTTAGGTCGATAAAAATAATGCAACCTTCCAATTTTTATCAAAATTCTTCGGTTTAAAGGTTTAACTGGCGTCTGTTGAATCAAATCGCTATTTTCTGTTCAAGTATTCAATTATGCCGTGAAGAATCTGATCTGACTTTTTTCGTTGATATCGCCTAGTTGTTGTGTTACAAATTTGGTAAATCTTTTGAGGAATGCACATTTAATTACTATTTGCCTTATACTTGATCGTTGAACGTAAATGGACATCTCCTAGCCTGTCCGCAATGCACGACGTAGATCACCTCCCTCAGGGGGGACTTCCGACGCGTGTCTGAGCGTCAGAAGTCCTATTTCGCGCTCCTAGGGGGATTGTTCCTGAGCGCCCCACCGCTGAGCTCGCGGTGTCTGACTGCAAGTCTCAGTCCCTCAGTATGCGGCCAACGTCCCGTGTAAGTGATCTCTAGTGGAGTGTCTTAATTTCTGTTACTTTTCACCTGTCACTTCGTCTCTGAGATGCTAACGCTGCTTCTTTCGAGCCAGCTTCAGCGGGCTGGACAATTAATTGAGAACTCCCGCCCCCTCGTGGGTGTTGATTAATTTGAGATATTGAATAATTGAGACCTTCCGTCTCGCTGGCGATGTTACATTTTGACCTCCGGTGCGAAATAGTTTGATTGCTGAAGCGCTAGCAAACCATTCTACTATTACTACTACTTATCATTCACTAGTTGACCAGTTAATTTGCCTTATTGTGTTCATGCAATACCAAGTACAACAACGATTTTTTCTACTGAAGAACACAATGCGAGGCGTTGTTAGAAAGTTGCTGCCTGCAATGATAGAAACGATTTCATGGAGTGTTGGAGATTTTTTCCTTTGATATGTAATCCAGGCAATCGCATATAAATTGATTCTAGGAATTAGTGATGGAGTTGTGACATCTCCTATTTTGCCTTTGCAATAAATATATTTGATGTGTATTTTGGAAGAATTATGCTCCGAAGAGCAATGTTATCTAAGTTAATGGAGGAAGCCTGACGTCGAATAAATTTCTACATTAAATGTTAGTACAAACGTTTCGTCGTCAGTCGTGTGACGCCTTTCATCTTGCAGTTCATCTTAATCGCTTGATAGTAACGCATGACGCGCCGGTGGTTCTGGCCATTCACACAGCACTGAGAGTTTTTTTTTAACAGTACAAGTTAAGATTAACCATTCCTAGAGGAGGTCGACGGCGGACTGTAAATGTGATGGATTTTAATTATGATATCGTGGTTGATGTTTGAGCTCTTGACTGCACATTCTGCTGTAAATATTTGTTACGCTGCAAGTCCAAGACGACAAGCGACACGAACGCTTACGATCTCTCGATGCTATTGTTTCCATGAAGTTGTACCCGCTAACATTTGTTTATTGTTGCCGGAAATATTGAATGGTTCTATACATGTTGAACGATACAGCCTTGCTAAATACGTTGGCTGTTCTTTGCACGTCCACGAAAAAAGTAGGATACGATGTTATCTTGACTGCGCTGTGGTGAGCTTACGAGATAGTTAGTTGATCCATTATTAGGGAAATTATATAGACTACTTTAACTCTCTGTATTTACGTCTCCCAGCTTACGTAGCGACGTATAGTCTTCTGATAATTAAATGTAATGAAAGCTTAGAGGCCCGACATCGAGAGATTCTGCTCCTTGTATTCAATAGATCTTGCGTGCTTGCCTCAAGTTAGATTAGAATATTCACGTTCGAACTCATTCGAACGGATCTGCTGCTTCCGAAAGGGCGATCCAAATGATGTCTTGTAGCGAGGTTATATTTACGACTTTTTGTTATTATCATTACTATTATGTTTTTATTATTATTATCATTATTATCATGTTTTTTCATCGAAACTAAAACAATGATATCCGCAAGTTTTTACTTCAGCTCCTCTAGAAATACTCAGATTAAACTCAGATTCAATTGATACTTTCTTGAAATTAATTTAGTTCGAAGTTTGTTGAATTGTGTTTAGTTATTGAAATATATCCTTCAATACAGAAAAAAGTAAGCAAATTGCTTGCAAGGCCATAATTGTGCAAGGTGTACGTAATATTACAGACGAGCGAGTGTGTTTACAGTAGTTAATTAGAAGTATCCTCAGTTGCAGTGATTGATTAGTTTTGGAAAAAGTTTAAAATTCACTCGAGCATGCGTTTAACGACTCATTAGTGGACACTTTATTTTTTATATTGGAAAACTCAAATTTAATATATTATATATTAAATTTTGATAATATATTACGTAGTTGGAAAACTATATATCTAATCTAAAGTTTTCTTCATTTAATGCTGATGAACACCAATTTAGGGCCGAATTCGTTTGGGTTTCGTGGCATTTAATGGAAATTGGCTGATTCTAAATCAGAGCGTTTCATTGCGTAATTGAGACCTGAGCTCTTGCGCACGAGCGAGCCATGGTCGTTCATGGCTTTGTTGCATTACTTCGTTTCAATGCTGACGGTAAAAATGATAAAATACTCTTTAAAAGTTTTTCTTCGAATCTGCTGTGAAAACGCCTCATCTCTCGTAGGTATTTGTGCGCGTTCGTTGTAGCGTTAAGTGATGTTTTCACGCGATATGATCGCACCATGTTACTCGTACGAGATTAAGAACGAACAATTTCGGAACAATCGTACCGAACGTGTTTCACGGTGAGTAGATTATTGTTGGTGAACTCCTTTGCCGACCATGCCATCTATGCACTACTTATTAGAGCTTGCGCTGGTCTTGTTCGTCGCCATGAAGCAAATCGGGGTCTCTGTGTTCAAAATGTTGATGTTGTGATACGCTTCTGTCTTTCGGACATTTTCAAGATCGATGCCTTGACGTTGCATTTCTTATAAATTTTATCTCTTTTCTTGCAAGTTTTGAGCTGCCGAAGACGCGCTGGTATTGCCATGCTCTTCATATTGATATCCACGTGTTGAACAAAGTTCTCGCGTCTCATGTTATGGACGAAAATTCCGACTGAACTCGATCAAGTGGCTTATCCGTTCGTATTTTCTAACTCGACTCGCATCTATGCTAAAACGTGTTATAGAAATTTATCAGTTGAATATTGTATATGATGGAAGTCTATTTTTTACCGCGCCGTACTGGCTAGAGAAGCTTTCTGCTGTCAAATGATGTAATATATTTGTGTCAGTTTTGTATGCTGCTAGAACCTATGAAAATTTAGTTTGAAATGTACCGTGTAGTTTTGTATATGTTAAGTGTGTTGTTACCTAGTAAAGTAACGAAAAATTGCAAGTTTGTTTTAATACGTTGCTTCAAAGTTTTCTGTAAGGCAGCATCAAATTAATTGAGAGAAATTTATGACTGGAAAATGTCAAGCTTGGAATGAAATTTACTTTCACCAATTTTCTTGGCCACCCTGCGATCAATCGAAGCTATTCAAATTTCGTTGAATAAAAGGATTTCTGAGGAGTTGAATTTGACTTTTCTAACGCGAAAATCAAATTGGCAAGCCTGAAATTAAAATTGAATCACTGCCTGATGAATTATACCTACCACGTTCTAATTAAGCAAGGAATAGGCAATGACATTTGTTGACAAATCTTAGTTGCAAAAAAATGGAATCTTTCGGATAGAAGTTTTAAGGTTTTATTAAAACTTGTGGACATCATCGGCAAATGAGAACAAGGATACAAAAAAAAATCGAGCATCTATTTCATTATTTTCAATTGATGACACTAGTAGCACGATGAAAACTTGAGACGCATGTTTCTTAAAATTAGACTTCAAGTGTAAAAAAGTAAATTATGGAGACGAACCTAGTTCAGAAGAGATTGAAACTTGTGCATTATTCATAAAATATGCTTGACTTTCCTTGAAAGCTATTCAAAGTCGATTTAACCCTTTGTCTACAGGTACACTAATCGTTTCCCTTGCTATTCATTTCAATAGGCCTGGTAACGAGACTAAGTAGACGAAGGGTTAAATTCATTCGGCCTTAATTTTTTCAACTGTTCACAACTGGTGCATTTTTTTCAAAAAGTCAAATGGCATTACTAGGGATTTTTCAGAACAATTATTTACAGCTGATGAATTCTATTGCGTTTACGTTTGATGAAATGAAAGAATGTCTTTCTTAAACTACACAATAACTTAACGGAATGTTATATTAACAATTGATGAAACATTTTATGCATTACCCGATGGGCTGATGCCAGCAGCCATTGCAGGGCTACTACTGCTGCAGGCTGCGCCACTTACACTTGATGGCGTGCTGTTGGTGCTAGTGCTGGGGGCGAGGGTAGTAGGTGTCGCGGAGCCGGTGGGTCCTGCCTGGATGTTACTCAAGTTCAGGTGCGTGATGAAACGCAGACGCCGCTGGAGGTCAGGTCGTAGTCCCCGAATGATGCCTTCCAAGTCAGGCTTGATGCTGTCGCCAGTGAACATATATTTGATGTGGTATAACACATCACAAATGGCGTCTTGGTGCATGAATTCGGTTACACTTTCATCTACCTTTGCAAGAGCATGATAGAACTCAAGTGTAACATCGAAAACTTTTCTGGCAATGTCCACAGAGAAGCGGCTCAAGAATGGCCCCACCAACTGGAAAAGGCACACAAGTTGCGCCTCTGTTTCAAGTATGCCGCGGATTTGCTCCTTCATCAGTTGCGGTATTCGGCCGAGCTGCGACAGGGAGCTGTGGTGCCAGAAAGCGTGCACGAGAGCGATGGTGAGGGAAACAGAACTGTGGCGAACGCACGGCTGCAGCAAGTCTAAACGCATCAGGCTGAAGATATCGAGAGTGGAAGGAGGAGAGTTAGAGCTCAACTCGGGACACTGTAGGAGGTTTACGATTCTGTGATGAACGGTGAGCCAGTAGCTTTCTGGCAGCCATGTTAGTACTAGCGCAACAGCGTTGATGTACTCGCCTAACTCCCTAGCTGGAATATCACAGTGTCCCTTAACGACCACATCAAACAAGTTCTCAGCGACGGTGTCAGGCATAACGGACAGAGCCATGAGCTCGACGCACGTAACATAAAGCGCGTGAGTGCCACTGTTGCCAAACTCGCTGAAGCGCCATTCCATGCCGTGTGGGAACACGCGCACCCCACGCTGAGCAAGAACTAGTCTTCGGATTAGTGCCGTATAGTACGACGGCTTCGGTACCCACGTTATTTCTTCCGGCGGGGTTGCCAGGTATTCTTCAGTGAGTGCCCAGCCTTTGGGTTTCACGCTGTTGCCGATAACGGCAGCAACCAACTGTCGCTTGAGTTTCGGGCTTTCCCGGAGACGGCCCTCGTAGTAGTGCAGGGTATTGTAGAGATAAGTGATGGGATGGTCGTGGAACTTGTATAATACTCCCAGCTGCTCGAGAACCATCTCAAGTCTTTTGTGAACTTGATGCGCCTCCAAGAAGCGATGGATGATGATGTCAAGTACGGGCAGGAAGCGCAGACACACATTAGTGAAGTAGATGGGTAGAGTCTGATGGTGACCGCTCTGTCCTCCACCACCACCTCCTACCAAGCTTTCTGGGGAGAACTTCTCAGGAAACTTACGATGGAACGCCATGTGTTGCTCATACCAGTTGTTGTGGTTCCAGTGATCTGGCATGTTTTCTGACACGAACTTGTTCACTCGGTTCCTAAACTCGGGCTGTCTCAATAGCAATAGCTGGATAATGAACATGCATACTTGAGCTTTAGAGCTTCCTTCTTGGATACGAAGGGCTAAGCAAAGCATGAGACGGTCAAGAGGCACTATGTGGTAGACCCAGATTATGGCGTTCATGGTGTTCACACACTTGCTCAGGTACTGGCCAAGGGCACAGTTAGAAAACTCGAGTACCAGAAAATCGCACAACGTACGAATGTGTGACATTAACTGCCGTGGACCAAGCCTCTCCAGAACCCTGTGTGACAAAGAATAAATCATTAATTTTGAGATACTTAGTGACGTTAAGTTTTTACATCAGATTATTAATCAGTCAATTATTTGTTGCAAAAGTAAAATCAACTCGAATATTTCTAACTCAATCAATACGTTAAACAATAATGAAAAGCATTCACCAGCAATTAGCGCTATTGTATGTTTGGTAATAAACCAGACATTTAGAGCAGAAATCATTATGCACGTAAAGAATTTAAACGAACATTTACTAGAATTAAAAAGATTGGAAGGATATTTGTCCCGTATTAATAATTCAAAGCCACTTAATAAAGCATTTGAACGTACTTGTAAGCTTCGACGGGAACGCGGTCTTGCTCTAGCACCATCTTGAACAGCAGACACAAGAAGAGCGTCGACGTCTGCTGCTGTCGTGAGAAATGGGCGATGATGTCGTTCTCGTTGCTCATGCTTTTCCATTTGCAGTATTCCTCGTCTACTTCTTTCTGCACAACGATTGAAGAAAAAAAATTCGAGATACTTTTCATAGGAATTCTGTTTGTGAAGACCACAAACATGAGGCCAAAAAGACCCAAGTCTAGGATAAGAACTGACATGGGCATGAAGCGGTATTGGCAACACGAAGAACAGAATGACAGGCGTCAAGTTATGGTAGGTACGATAATATAGCGAGATGTTTGCCCTCCGGACATTCTTCCAAGTTGAGCAATAAAAGCAAAACTGCGCGGCGAACTAAATAATCTAATTAAAAATTTCGTTTCAATTCAATGCGTTAAGTGCATCTTTTAATTCGAACATCCAAATCATACCTGGTTTCGGGCTTCATTTTCAAATAATTTTAATATTAATCACTGAAGTTAGCCACATTACATGTAACACAATCTGAAAAAGCTGTCTCAGGCAACCATTCATTATTCGTTAAGCTGATCGAATGAGACGGAAAAAAATTAGATCCAAGTCTACCTTCAGGTTGTGTGTGTCTCGTGGTCCGGGAACCTGCTTGTAGTATTCCTCGATGACGCGAGGGAAGCACTGCATGGTGTGCGTGGGCCACGTGTGCGGCGTGTGGTTCATCACTGCCCTCAGGAAGTCAAGGCACCAGCGAGCCGAGTCCGACGAGCTGTCAAATCCTGGGCAAGAAAAAAACATCAGAAAATACGTTTTTTTAATGTGAATTCTAGAGACTCCATACATAGTATGACAAACTTTCAAAGCCAGCTCAAAAAGAAAAAAATCTTGAAAATACGTTTATAGTGACAATTTTAGAGGGATATGGAGCCAAACCATAACCAACCAAAAAACCATAATGCAAAACAAAGCCAAATGTAACACGGATTTGAGAAACGTGAATTTTCTACCCTAAATGTTTATGCCAATAAGAGGATGAGATTCAAAATGAGTTTGATTGGATACAAGAATAACGAATGCATAGTATATTAAAGTTGATGAACAAATGCATATGAATAAATAAATAAATTACCTGGAAAAACAATGTAATACATAAAGAATCAAAAGCAGTTTAACTGAAGAACAAACAGGCATACGCAGAACCTAAGCTATTAGCTAAATAAAAGCGTTTCTATTGAATGAAACAATTTCATGACAGAAGTACTGGATTCATCAGCCTCTTTTGGGTAGAAACGATGACAAAAATCCATAAGTAAAGTAAAGGAAAAAAGTGCCCTTTTTGTCTGGCTCTCAAAACTCGAAATTAAACAAGGAACCCCATCAAGGTTATTTTCACGCTTCACATTGGCTGTACTATCAAAATTTGCCTAAATAAGTACACGTTTTGTCTCGAGCACATGTAGCGGCCGATTTTTCGTTTATGATAGGTGGATTTAACATGAAAAGATGTCGGATAACGAACTAACTATTTTTGTCAGTACGGCCCCCAATCAAAAATAAAAATTTAAACACAAGACAGCATTGATCTCTCTTACCAGTGACATGGATAGCCCGAGCAAGGGTCAAGACCAGGACCTTGTTTAGCTCTTCGCTCTCGCCGCTGATGACGGTTTTGGAGTCCGGGGACAGACGAGCCAAAGACGACATCACCTCACTGTTGCCAAGCCCTGAGATCAGGCGAAGTGCCACGCTCTCCAAACTGATGAAAATATGGCGCAACACAAAAATGTGAACACGTGTAATATCGCACGAAATTACAGGCAGAGCGCGTAAAAGAACTGATTAATATACGCAGGGCATTTTATGCTCAAGGTATAATAAAGCGTTCTATACTTCACAAAAAATTTAAACCAGTCTCATTTCTACTGGGTAAATAGGATCCAGTGTAAATGAAAATTTATCGTCAGCAAGCATGAGTTTACATCAGCGCTCTGCGCGAAAAGGAAATAAGGAATCATTTGGCCCTTGTTGGTAAAATTCCCAGAACAAAAATTCAAAATATTCAAAATCAAAAGGTCATTATTATTTAAAACGAGAAATATTCAGGTGGGAAGATGGTGAAGCACTAACCAGAGATGGAGGTGAGTCATGTTGGGCAAGGTGTTGAGGGGAATGGTCATGTGGTGGATGGTGGAGAGCAGCTGCACGCGGTAATGGGGGGGACTGTGGTGGATGCGGTGGGAGAACATCTCCAGGAGGCCATGCAAGATGCCCCAAACTTGAGACTTGAACACCACAGGCAGCAGGTTCGCTGTGAAACATAACATTGAAAATAAGCGCAAGCAAAGCAGTGAACAGAATGAGTAATTCTGAGTTCCAAAACTAAGTTTAGGTTACAAGATTATGAAGAATCGTGAGTCCAACTTGCATTCATCGGGTAATAGCAAGCTGTCACTAATACCCAAGGAATAATGGCCGTTAACTGTCACAATGAAAAATTACAAAGACATCGAGTACTAATGGGAAAATTGGTTAATAAAAGTTTCCTCTGATGAATCAGGCATACAATTTTCATTAAATTTTGTGACCACCGTAAGCCGTATGACAATCGTAACTTGGAGTTATCTCGTCTGAAACTCATAATTTGCTTCACATACAAACTTTTATCTCCTGGTAGTAAGGCCAAATGTTACTAATAAGATATTAATGATAAGAAATGCTTACTAATGAATTGTTTGATGCCGATGGTTTCAGTTTCTATGTAAACGAGCAATCTTGCGTAGGTCTCCACGAGCGCGGGTGCCAAGGCTATGGTGCTCTTAGTGTGAGCTTGCTTCGTTATGTACTGCAAAATAAAACTTGCTCGTTAGTGAAAAGAAATCATGGTGAAACTTTTTACATTAACAAACTGAATAGTTACCTAGTTGTAATAAAATTTGATTATATATATGCACTATTGTTTGCAGTATATTATTTATATGCAGCATTGTTTCAAAATTTATTAGCTGATTTAAATTAATATTTTAAATCTGTCCACCTCGCAAGCAAACTACGACTGAGCAGTAATAACCTAAAATCAGATGAAGCACTGCGTAATAACTACGTAGAAACTTTATTCAATCGTTAACGATGAGGTTAGGATATCCATATGTATATTTTGAATTAATCGGTTTGCTCAACTTGGAATATTGAGCGAGTGGATCCACTTGATTCACAATTTCTCTGATCTTAGACGACGATAAATCAGAGCATTCAGTGAGGAATTTTTACCTGGCCAATGTTGTGGAGGAGGCTCATCTTGACGTGGATAGAGAGCGAGTCGAGGAGCGTCATTGACAGGGGCACCGTGGCACCGTGCGCCACACAGTTCACTCCCGGCATCGGCACGGTGCTCTTCTGGCTGCTCTGAATGCCTTCGGTCAGTGCCAGGATCGGCCGGTGGAACATTTCCTGCAAATGCACAAGTAAAATTGTTACAAAATTTGTGAGATGGCAGTGAATAATGCAAGGCATTCATAAACATTTGATAAAAATCAATGCCACTTGCCGCCAATAAAAAAGAGCTAAAAATAAACAGGCAGTGAAATCCACGAAGAAATAAGTCAATGTAGCGCATTCACTATGGCACCGAAACGATATTCCATTTACATATCACGTATTTATACTTCTTATTTTAGTATCCGAGCATTATAGCCGTAGTACATTAATTAGAGATTTTCTTGCCAGTTTGGAGGACAGCCTTGCGTGTCATGCAAGATAAATAATAAATAAATTAAAAAAATTGCATCTCTCTAAAAAAATTGCTTGTTCATTAATCTGGTGAAATTAAATGGCTCGGCAATTAATTAATTAAATTGTTCATTAATCTGGTGGAGGTGAGTTTGAAATTTGCTGGTGAAATTAAATTAGAATGCCTCGGCCCTACGCATCAAAATTGGTCTCTAGGAACAGTAATGTAAAATACTCATCCACAACATTGCTTTAAATGAATGACAGCACAGTATACGTTTCGGACCGTGTTGGTGGAGAAAGCATTGAGCAGCAGCGCGATGCGGTAGTCGGGGGAAGGCGTCGTGGAGAAGTTGGACGCGATGTGTGAGAGTTGAGGGTTGTGTACAAGCGACTGGATCAGTCTGAAAATTGAGATAAAAATCAGTTTATAAGTTAAAAATTAATTTATCCTGCTAATAAATAACTGAAGACTTGTCTTATACAGGTTTCTAGCATGAAACAAATGTGCACAAAAATTTGCTAATCAAATTGATGTCATAACAATGCATTATCTCCATGGTACAGAGAGAGGTCAATAATAAAACGAATTAACATTTAACAGTCACTAGCTAACGTATGTACGTATATGAAGAATATTAAAAATATTTGGCTTGAATGTAACTAATCTTCAGCGCAGATGACTTACTGAAAAGAGCACCGAATTTCTAACTGTAATTGCCAACTAAGAGGCAAACTCTTGCCTGATGCGTGATCTGATGTTAAATTGCAAATTTTTTTAATCCATATCGCGTAAAGTATATTATCAACCTGAAAAAATCTATGAAATGAAAAATATGGCAAATGAACATTTCTCAATCGTAATACGAACTATTTCGCATGAATTTCATTGACACCAGTTTAGTTTACTTTGCTTAATGGACACCACATCCTGCTTGACTCAACCTTAAGATAAGTTCTCAAGGGTAGGTTACACAGTGTACTCACTCGTTGTGATTGGTGAAGGCAGGAGGCAGAGCCCGTGGAGTTTTGATGTACTCAGCCTGAGCCTTGCGCAAAATGTGGATAAGGATGCACATGGCTGAAGACTTGAGTACACACGAGGGGTCTGTGTAGTCAGGGACCGGTAACGGAGTCCGCTCCGGGTACAAATATTCTGTAAAGCCAATACAAATGTGCTTGCTACAAAATATATATAATATAGACTAACTACGGTATTGAGGGTCAAAGAGTATACATTTTATGAATTCATGAAATTGCTGAACGACAGAAGAACTTCAGATAGAAATTTGGAATCATTTCCGTCTTTCAAGATTATGATGAAATTGTTCAATTATCATAAACGTGTCGCTTATTTGATGAGAGCAATAGAATGACGTACCGATCAGCCGCAACACAGGCAGGAACTCCGGGAATGGATTTTTCTGTATAGTTCCCGAGAGATACTGCAGCAAAACCCACATCAAATGGTCGCGCCCAACGCGCATATTCAGCTTTTGCAACTGAAGAAGCGATAAACACGATCACAAATTGGGTCGGGATCACATTCGTAGCCAAACAAAAATGAAGGATGCTGCTAAGTACTCATTTTTTTATGAATGGTAAGAGGGTTCTATATACACAGTGGAATTATCTAAAGAGTAATTACAGTAATGATGACACAAAAAGTTATCAGATTAGCAAAAGGAATGAATGTAGGTGCGATCACAGGGGGTGAAATTCTGTCAAAGGGTTTTTTTATTTGGTCGTAGTTTTGATTAAAATATCATGAAGACATTCAATGTCTTTGCATGGATTATACTAAATAATTCTAGATGAATGAGAGATTTGATACCAATGCAACACCAAAAAATGTCTTATAATCAGAAACTTGCAATAAATCAAATAAGATAGGAGCATGAGCGAGACTCTTGCAGATAATTGTTAAATATCAAAAGTGCTAAATTGGACATACCTTAGCATGTAAAGCTATCACCAGCGCTGGGAAGTTTATGAGTTGGTGGAGCACGAAGTGTATGAGGAGTGAGGAGAGGTGGTGGCAGGGACATGGATAATGGTCAGGGGAAGAGGGCGCAGCACCAGCGGAGGAGGCGCTGCTGGGGGAGGACGTCGTGGCCCCAGGGGTGGCTGAGGAGCTCGTGCCGCTGGGTGTTGCAACGCTCGTGTCCATGGCAGTCGTGCCAGAGCCTGAATAATCACAACATCGAGATTGCACGAATGGACTTGAACAAGTGATAAATACAAATAAAAATTCATTTTTAGCGCATTTTCTCATTTATGGAAAATATGAGTACTATTGTGCTGTGGGAAAAAACTATTGTGCTCGCCATGTCCGTCTGTCCATCCGTCTGTCTGTCCGTCCGTAACTTCACGTTTTCGTCGACGAGAAAATGAGCTCTCAGTCACTCACTACAGTGAGTACCGTACCGAGTTATATTTTTTCTAAAATGGCGACATTTTTGTGATAACCGTACAACGCTTTGTAATACAACATTTTTGTATGCAAATTTACATTAGATATGAAAAATAAATAGCCATGCAAGCCTACTCCTCGAGCGCAAATCCAGTAAGGCCACACCATTTATAAGATATCAACATTTCATCTGACATTGTACGTATATAAAGCATCTGAACACGCCCAGTTTCCTGACGTTTTCGTGCATATTCAAGGCAAACAAATAACCTCCTTGTGCCTTTTCAGGGTAAAACAACCTCTTTGTGCATAATAAGAGTAAACAATTAACTTTTGCGTGCATATTCAGGGTAAACAATTAACCTCTTTGTGCATATTCAGGGTAAACAAATGACCTCTTTGTGCATATTCAGAATCAATAAATAACCTCTTTCGCAAGTGAATCTGCTCTCTCCTGCACCATTTTCTAAAGTTGAATTTTTTTAAGTCAAAAAATTAGTTTTTACTTGTTTCTTCCTTATTATCTGGACGACAATAATCTTACGAAGCATCACTTCCTGAAACCTGATAAGGATTCACCAGCAAGTACAGGAAGGAGCACAAAAAAAAGAACTAACACACGCATAGATAAAAGTTTAGCTCTACTGCAGTCAGCATCCCTCCTAAGAGGCTCACAACCACCTGAAAGATGGCACAAATGAGAACCTCTGCCCATACTCCACCCCAAAAACATAACACAACTCCTGATGGCGTACTAGGCACTGTCAGTCTACCAGCACCCTCACTACATCGCCTAAAGTTTGAGGTCAGAACAGACGCGGTTTGCTCCATGTGCAACGCATGTCTTAAGACTTTACAAGAAACGAAGAACAGGAACCACATTTTTTCCTTCATGAAGGAATAACGACGCTTCTAGAACTAATAAAAAAATTAAATACTGAATCGATTCATCCTCTGTAACCATCATTAAAATAAAAAGTCACCTGCTCCAGCATTGGCGTCATCTTGGTCCTCGAGACCACTGGACGGTGCTGGCTGTGAGGTGCCATCCGTAGCAGCGGTAGCGGCAGGGTCAGTGGCCTGAGCCGCAGACTCGCTGGCTTTGTTTTGGTTGTAGAGGTCAGTGGCGTGACACACGTGCAGCGAGCTCACCATCAGCGTGATCAATTGATCTTCTAGTACAGAACACCGTTGCTTCTGCACACAAAAATATTCCTAATTTCAACACAACAAACTTGTAGTGCAGTTTAAACTGATCAAATTAATTCGTTTATTTAAAATGATTCGAATACCTACAATATATGTAAAAAAGTTACCGCACGCAGGAAAAAATTGAATGGAGCTCATTAAGTATCAGAATTATATCAATAAAGAGGCAATAAATTATTTCACTGGTCACAAGCAAGTTAATGATGCTGGAACAAATTCCAGGTATGAATGAGTTCTTGAAACGATTATTTTTGAAGGGAATACCTATTCCTAAAAATTATTCTATCAAGTTTCAGTGGAATTGTTGATTGGAAAGAATAATGCTTTGAGTAACAGGAGATCAACATTGCAGTGCATATTAAATGACAGTGAAGAATTTGATCCATTTTTAGGTTGGAGTATATTAAGTACAGACCTTCTTAGTCATATCAATCATGGCGCAGACCATTTCCTTGGAGTAAGGCTGTCGTAGGACGTGGTTCAGCAGTGCTGGCTGGGGGGCGAGCAGCTCACTTGAGTATGGCAGTGAGCCGTTCAGGCCAAACTTGAGTGTCCTGCTGTCTAGTTTCCATGAACTTATGCTCCATCCGTTGTGACCTGATTGTGAAAGATCCAGCTTCAGTATTTGAGAGGGTATAAAAATTACAAACAGTATCTATTGTGCAAGGAAGTGGTACCATAAGAAATCTGTTTTAATAATATAATAATAATATAATAGAACATACAAAAGTTGTAGCAATGATCTGCAACTACAACAAAAAATTGCACATACTATCTTATTTTGAAGTAAAAAACACACAACTGTTATCACCCGAGTTCACCAGGGCTTTACTACAAAGATAATTCTAATTCTTTTACTACAAAAAGAATAAAATTTAAATTTATTGGAACGCAAATAATATACCTACACAAGTTTGAAATCAGTATTATATGCAGCGTGTGCATTGGATGGAAACTAGTCAAATGTTCGAAGGTATAAGCCTCACCAGAGTGCTCCACAACTGGTCGTAACTTTGTTCGGTTTACAATAGACAAAAGCTGAGCTGCTCGCTGGAAGTTCTCCACAAAATCAGTCAACAATCGTGAGACTTTCTGTTGAACAATTGATACTGTGATATAAAGATATTAAAAACGACTTATGAAGTATTTAGTGTAGTACACGTTACTTATATTGATCATGTACAGAATGCAATTCAACAACAATAAAGTAACTTTACCTCATTACGGTTTGAACAATTTTCTTAGTCTTTGAAACTTAAAATTGGCAAATATCACTTTTAAAGTTTAATTTCATGAATCAATCAAATGGAAAATAAGTCCTTTCCAAAGATTTATAATCAATCAAATGGAAAATAAATCTTTTCACCAAAATCCCCAGGATACTAATAAGAAGCAATAATTTTTCTTTCAAATAACAGAAATGAGCACGATCCTCTTGACAATTTTTTTTTATGTAACAAAAAATGAACCACCAACAACCATCTGCCCTACCCAGTGTGGCCACTTCTGGTAGTCAGGACAGAGCTTGAGGAGCTCATTAACAACAAAGTATGCAGGCAGGAGAGCAGCGTTGGGGTCACAGATGTGCTCGAGTAGCTCACACAGCGCAGTCATGCACGCCACTTGCGAGTGTTTTAACTCAGTTGGCAGCTGCCGGCAAACCTCCAAGCACATCTAGAACAAAACAAATGTATTATGGAATAATATTAGCAAGACATACATACTAGCAGCATTGCAACAGGAAACAGTTATTTCAGTATTTTATACAATACTTTGCGCCTTCTGCAAGATTGATAGGTTGATCATATGAAAAGTTTTGACTGAGAAATGGGAGCACAAATATGGAGCATAGTGGGTAGCGCTCCTACAATTTGAAGATTTTCAATAATAGTGGATTATACACTTGTACACATAATTCAATAGAGACATTTTATTTTAAACCAATATGCATTATGATTTTATAAGCTAAGAACTGTTGCAATACCTACTACCATGTTATATTCATCAACAATGAAGGTAAAATTCAATTCTACAACTGTATTATTTGTCTGAGCTTTGATGTATTAGGTACATTGGAGTATTAACTATTCAGTTAGGAATTTTGTTATCCTCGAAAGAACTTCAGTGAAATCATTTTCACTTCAATCATTTATTTGATACAACTACCTGTATATGGAATGTCCAATTGAAGCCCACTACACATAATTCATTTTTAGATTTATTTCAGAAGCACAATGAATATTACTAAAAAAATAGTAATTAGGTTTCCCATAGAAAATATAACTTAAAGTCAGTGGGAAAATTTGCCTTCACCTTCATAATTTCCCGAACACCTTTGTAATCCACGCCGCTGATAACATCTTTCATGAGGCCAAAAGCTGTGATCCAAAACACACTGTTTTCTGGCTTGAGCTTCTCGTGGGTTAGGATGGTAACACACAGAAGCCTGGGCAGATAACATCAATTAGAAATCGAGATACAATCATTGCTTATTCATATTGAACTACCTCTTTAAGATATTTCATCTGAGAGTACATTTAGTGCAGAGGTAAAGTTTTGAACAAAAAGGCTTTGGGTGAAAGGTTTTAAAATGGACAAATTTTAAAATTACATTATTCACTGAACCCAAATCCATAAGCTCAAAGGACACACAATTAAATTTAGGACGATTCAAAAGCTAACAAAAATTTACTATAACCAATCATTGTGCAACGCAATACAATACATAGAAATTCACTTATTGACAGCACTATTAAAGCTCAACTACCACATGTCTGATTCTAGGTATAGGTAATCACTTTTAAACACTAGTCTCAACAAAACTTAACTTTGTTCAATAAAATAAGTCTTTATAAATCAACATATATTTTAATTTAATGAATGGTTCTATTTTCTCAATTGTTCTCAATTATATTTCTTCAACCATGCTTGAACTACCTACAATTTTTCATGGAATGCAAAGCAGCAGCAATGACAGAAATAACAAATTCCAGAAAGACATACTTACTTAGCCAGAATAGAGCATTATATTCCTTCAAGACTTCAACCATGCATTACCTATCCAATTTTTCATGAAATGCAGAGCAGCAGCAATGACAGAAATAACAAATTCCAGAAAGACATACTTACTTAGCCGGAATAGAGTTAGACTCAGCAAGCTTGCAGATGATGCTTGCAACAGCATGGGACTGCACTGGATTATGCCGCATTGAGAGGACTGTCACAAGCTGCCTTACCCCTGCCTCCAGTACTGTCTTGTTTGAAGTTTCCTGATCACTGGAATAATTTGAAAATATAACTCAGTACTCACTGCAGTGAGTTACTGAGAGCGCATTTTCTCATTGACAAAAACATGAAGTCACGGATAGACAGATGGACATGACGAGCACAATAGTGCATTTTTTCTACAAATGAGAAAAAGTGCTAAAAACAGAAAAATTTACAAAAGGCAACCAAAATCATTTCATGTCTGTAGTGCAGCAAATCCTATGTCAATGAAAAATTCTAATCACATATGAATTAGGTAAAAATGTTTAAAATGATTCACAAAATGCATGCCATCACTTTAATAACTTCATATCCATCTGTGTTATCCATCTCAAAATATTGAAGAGGGTGGGTCAGGACGATCCACTTAGATGAGTCAAACGCATCTAAATAGCAGTGCACTTTCTCAACTCTTGCCCATTTGTAGGTCATACTGACCTAGGTATTACTGACCCTTTAAATTACAGGTATAGGTAACTTCTTTGTGGCCTCAAAGGCTATTAGACACCCAGATGATACCCATGTGTCCATCCTATGTGCAGTGTTAAAAGCAATTAGATGCCACAAATGAGTCATGCCTCAAATTCAAAGAGCCTGTAACAGGTCTATATGATCCACAAATTGGCGCAAGTAAAAAAAAGTTCATCCCTATTTGGACACAGTTGACCCGTCTAAGTGGATCATCCAGACACACCCATTTTTTCAGTGTAAATGAGTTAAAATGACTTTGCTGAGACAAGTTTGAAATAATTATAAAATGATTTAAGCAATTAGCTGTCAGATCCTAATGCCTGAATTCACCTGAGCATTTGGGACTTGTGAGAATTTTGTATCAATCTTGGCTGTTCATAGAGAAAGTATAAATACATATAATTGGACAAAAAGAAAAAAAATATATTACAGAATGGGCCTAATTTAAGTATGAACATCACTAGATATACATCAGTATGTAGATAATTATATTGGAACCCTGCCCTAGGGACTTAATTTGTGGAGGAACTTGGTTTGTAAAGTGATTTCTTTGTAACATGAGCCTATTTCTCTTATCAAAATTTATAAAAAGGGCTTTGATCTGTGTAAGGCCTCCAAAACATCACCCATTCACATATATATTGTACTTGCAATAGGCTGAAAAAGAAATATTTCTATTTCGAGGTGATAAAGAAGGCATCTGTTTGACCCAAGATTGTGCTGATTGTACTCTTATTCTGGGCATACTCCTTGGCCAAGGAAACAACCTGCACGCCACCAGGATGACCAAATTTTAAGCGCACGAAGTGTACAATTTGAGGAATACCTGGATGGTCTGTTGCCATCTGAAGATGGCTCAGAAGAAGACTGGCCAGCTTGATCCAGCAGTTTCTGAACCTCTGAGAAAATGGTGGTGAGCTTCTGCTCAGCCTTCTCAGGGTCATCTAATTTCAGGTAATTGAACAGATTCTGCTGAAGAGGATCTCCTTGGTGCTGAAACAAGAGATAAATTATGAAATTGATTATTGGAAATGTTGCCACTTGGAAGAGCAAACAATTTTTTTGACTCATTTATTCTCATAGCATAAAATTTCATTCAAATATATGTGAATGATATTACTGATAGTATTATCTCCAAAGAAGCATGTCCACCAGCAGTAATACCAAATAAGTTCTATAATCAAGATAAAACAATTCAAAACCCTTATCCATTAGACATATATATTCACCGCTCAGGTTACAAATTTCTACATGAATACTTTGCATCTGGCTGTGCACCTGCCACTGTTATATGACTAAAATCTAATTATCAACTGCCTACACAACATAATTTGACCAGCAAGGCCTCTTAGAAAAAATTATAGCTTGCTTGCTCCTTGATGGCATGGCAAGTTCAAATCCTTTCTGTATTAAGAGAAGTGTAAAATCTAACTTCAATAATGTTTTAAATAGGATTCAGTTTCTATACATTTATGCTTCAATGTTATTGTGACCCACAGTGATCTGTTGCATTCCTCTACTCTTGATTTAGTTTGTTAGCAACTTCTTTTAGTTTTCATGAGGCATCTCAGGATGAATGCTACAAATAAATAAATGGTTGATACAGTGGTTACAGTCTTTACAGTGACGTTTCAAATCATGAGCAATGACAGATTGCAGGTTAAGGTAGCAAAACTGAGGTTATTGATTTGTGGAAATATTTCATTTTAATTGGCCTAATACCTGTATATTGGCCAATATATACAAGACATTGGCCAATGTCAGAAGCACTGGCGTTGGACTTGTTAGTCATTAGAAGCTACAGCTTTACTGCACCCCATTCATTACTTCAATCAATACAAACACCTTACCATATAATATTTCTAAACATTTGTTGAGCTGAAACTTTCAACATAACATATGAATTAGCTAGCCATAACTACACATACCATTTCAGGGTGCAATCCTTTAGAATTATATGCATTTAAAAAGTACCTACCTATAATTATAAAATACTGTAAAATGGGGTAACTTAGACCGGCAGGGTAACTTAGACCACTTTTCGTTTTTTTAACAAAAACCCCCACAACTCAAAAACTATTTGACATAGAAAAATTTTGTCAATGGGCATTAAAGGCCTAATACTGAGGCTACATAACACAATAGAAAGGTTTGAAAAGTTTGCATAACTAATAGGTTAAAAAATTAAAAATAAGACCCACAAAAAAAAGCTATTATTTAAAGCCTGTCAGAGTACCCCCTCCAATTTTTTTATTTTTTGGTTAAATAACTCCAGGTTTTGATGCATTGTAGTAGAACTCTTCTAGTTACATATGCAAATGACAAATTTTAGGAAAGTGTCATAGTTTGCAAATGGGGG